CGCCTGTAATCCCAGCTACTAGGGAGGCTGAGGCAGGAGGATCACTTGAACCCAGGAGGTGGAGGTTGCAGTGAACCAAGATCAAGCTACTGCACTGCAGCCTGGGTGACAGTGTAAGACCCTGTCTCAAAAAAAAAAAAAAAAGAAAAGAAAAAGAAAATATCCTTAATATTTTTTTTACAAAGACAATAGATACTGTACATATATTGAATACTGATTTTTTTTGAATACTGATTTTTTAAATCACTATTTTTAAACCTTTTTATCATGAAATATTATATATATTTTGAATAATGCCACTAGAAATATTCTTGAATGCATCTCCTGTTGTACATGCGCATATATTCCACGTGGGCGTATATATTTCCACGAGTGGACTCACTGTGTCATATTGCTTGCATGTCTTCAACATTACCACTTAGGGCCAAAATACTTTCCAGCGTGATTGTAGCAATTCCCACCTCCTCCATCAGCAATATGAGAGTTCTCCTTGCACCATATTCTCTTCAACACTTGGTACTATCAGTCTTTTTCATTTAAGACTTTCTAGAGGTTGTGTAGTGGTATCCATTGTGGTTTTAATTTGTATTCCCTTGCTACTAAGAAGGTTAAATCTTTTTTTATTCGTTGATTAAAGCCTTGGATTTCCTCTTTTGTAAAATGAATGCTTCACCCATTTTTCTACTAGGTGGTCTCTTTTTTTCTTACTGGTTTGTACAAGTTCTTTACATCTTCTAGCTCTGAGCCTTTTGTTGATAATGTATGTTGGAGATATCTTCTACTCTGTGACTTTCCCTTTGTTCTCTTTTAATGCTGTCTTTTAAATGAATAGTAGTTCTAAGCTTTGTTGTAGAAAGACTTATCAATTTTCATGGTTCATGTTTGAGAACTATTTTCCTAATTCAAGGTCATGAAGATAGCCATCCGTATTATCTTCTAAAGGCTTTATAGTTTTTGCCTTTCACATTTAAGTCTATAATACATCTGGAATTTATATATATTTTTGAAATGAGATTTCACTCAGTCACCCAGACTGGAGTACAGTGGCACAAACATGGTTCGCTGCAGCCTCCACCTTCCAGATTCAAGAGATCGTCCCACCTAGCCTCCTGAGTATCTGAGACTACAGGCGCATGCCACCCCACTCAGCTAATTTTTATGTATGTGCTATATATTTTATTTTTTTTGTAGAGACAGAGTCTCGCCATATTGCCCAGACTGGTTTTAAATCTGGACTCAAGCAATCCTCCTGCCTCGGCCTCCCAAAGTGCTGGGATTACAGGCATGAGCCACAGCACCTGGCCTTGGAATTGACTTTTTTTTTTTTTAGACTGAGTCTCGCTCTGTCGCCCAAGCTGGAGTGCAGTGGCCTGGTCTCGGCTCACTGCAACCTCCGCCTTCTGGATTCTAGCGATCCTCCTGCTTCAGCCTCCCAAGTAGCTGAGACTACAGTCACGTGCCACCACGCCCAGCTGATTTTTGTATTTTTAGTGGAGACGAGATTTCTCCATGTTGGCCAGGCTGGTCACCAACTCCTGACTTCAGGTGATCCACATGCCTCAGCCTCCCAAAGTGCTAGGATTACAGGCGTGAGCCACTGCACCCGACCTGTACTCTATATTCTGTTGCAATGGATTATTTGTCTGTCCTAGCACCAGGACAACAATGTCTTAAATTTCCATTGCTTTGTAAGTCTTGAGGTCTTGTAAAGCATGTCCTCCCACATTGCTTTAATTATTCAAGAGTGTCCTGGCAGGCCGGGCACAGTGACTCACGCCTGCAATCCCAGTGCTTTAGGAGGCTGAGGCAGGAGGATCACTTGAGGCCAGGAGTTCTAGACCAGACTAGGCAACCTAGGGAGACCCCCATCTCTACACAATACAAAAAAAAAAAAAAAACCAAAAAAAACGAAGCAGGGTATGGTGGCGTACGCCTGTAGTTGAGGCTGCATTGGGCTGTGGTTGTGCCACTGCACCCTAGCCTGGGTGACAAAGTGAGACTGTGTCTCTGAAAACAAGATGCAAAATAATTTTTTTTAAAGAAAATGTCTTGGCTATTCCTGGCCATTTGCATTTTCACAGAAATTTTAGAATTGGTTTGTCAGATTTTACAAAAATCCTGTTGTGATTTCAATTGGGATGGCATTGAATGTACTGATTTCTACTTTTTAAAGACCTTCTTTTGGGTTTTACTCTATTGTTATTTTTATAACGTCTTTATTTCAATGCTTAATGCATGGAATTTTGGACTTTATTCTTTTGTAATATAAGCACTGAAGACCCTAATTTCCACTTTAGTTACCATTTCTTAATCCAATAAATTCTTACATGTACTGATTACATTGATATTTAGTGTATCTTCTTAGACGATCAGTTATTTTGAACTGTATTTTTAAACTTTAAAATGATGATTTCTGAAAAGTTTCATCTTATTACTGATTTCTGACTTTAAAATGATGATTTCTGAAAAGTTTCATCTTATTACTGATTTCTGACTTAAATACACTTGGTTTAGAGATGGTCTGTAAGAGATGGTTTTTGTATCTTCTCTATCTGTGTGCCCTTCCTGGGCCATCTCATCTGTTTCCCAGCTCTATATGAGAACTCCCAGATCTTACCTCTATTCTAGCCCAACATCCTATTGTATAACTCCCTGCATGTTTTATTTCAACATGGACAAAATGTAACATTATGTTTCATTCTTTGTTTCACCTTTATTTCAACATGGACAAAATGTAGCATTATGTTTCATTCTCTTCCCCACTCCCTTCCTAATCTACTAGCCCCTCTCAGTATGTAACACCACCCTCTGCATGGTTGTACAAAACCAATAACTGAGAATTGCCCTAGAATTCTTTCTTTTTCTCACTCCCATAATTCAGCCTCTTTAAAACACAGTATCAACACCTTCTTTTTGTTTATTTGTTTGTTTGTTTTTGAGATGGAGTCTCACTCTGTCACCCAGGCTAGAGTACAGTGGCATGATCTCAGCTCACTGCAACCTCTGCCTCCTGAGTTCAAGTGATTCTCCTGCCTCAGCCTCCTGAGTAGCTGGGATTACAGACACCCACCATGCCTGGCTAACTTTTGTATTTTTAGTAGAGACGGGGGTTCTGCCATGTTGGCGAGGCTGGTCTCCAACTCCTGACCTCAGGTGATCTGCCTGCCTCAGCCTCCCAAAGTGCTAGGATTACAGGCGTGAACCACCACGCCCGCCAACACCTTCTTTTACTTGCCCATGACAACTACTACCTTAAGTCCAGATTGTCTTATTCTTTCACATAAACTCTGTAGTGCATCTCCAGATCGATCTGGACTCACCCATTTCAAACATTCCTCGTGATCTATCCTTTTTTTTTTTTTTTTTTTTTTTTTTTTAAGAAGGAGTCTCACTCTGTGTCACCCAGGCTGAAGTGCAGTGGTACAAACTCGGCTCACTGCAACCTCTGCCTCCGGGTTCAAGCAATTCTCCTGTCTCAGCCTCTCAAGTAGCTGGGATTACAGGTGTGTGCCACCACGACCAGCTAACTTTTGTATTTTTAGTAGAGACGGGGCTTCACCATATTGGTCATGCTGGTCTCGAACTCCTGACCTCAGGTGATCCACCCGCCTCGGCCTCCCAAAGTGCTGAAATTACAGGAGTGAGCCACCGTGCCCAGCGTGATGCATGTTGAATACTGTTTGAAATCACACAATTACGATCATGTCTTTTCCTGCATATAAATTGCAGTCCATTCTCTATTAGAAAAAAAGATTTGTTCCTTGTTCTGATGCTAGTATATCTCTACTGGATTTTCCTCATAGTCACCTTAATATACTACACAGACTCCTTTCCTTTATATGGAACTACTTGCAGTTCTCAGAATCCACCATGTATTTTTCTATTTCCCTTTCTCCATACTTTTGCTCATGCTTCTCCCTTCTAGATAACTCTCGCCCCACTGTCTCTATGAAGTCTAACCTTATACCTCCTATACTTTTCTTCCAAATTCCTAAAGCTCCCTTTGTGTCTTCTTCTGTTGGTTATCCAAGTCTTTAAGTTGCTTTATATTTTACTCAACTCTTTATCACCATTGCCTAGCACATCATCTGACACATAATCGGCCAGTATCTTGTTTTTAAGTTAGCTAGAGGACTTAAAGAGAGCTCATTTAAAATCCTCAGTTTGAAAAGAGAATGAATGAATAAACTAATGAATGTAGTACACAACAAATGTCAAGATACTTGAATAAGTTTTTTTGTTTGTTTGTTTGTTTGTTTTTTGAGATGGAGTCTTGCTCTGTCGCCCAGGCTGGAGTGCAGTGGCCAGATCTCAGCTCACTGCAAGCTCCGCCTCCC